CTTTTAATTATTGTTATGAATTTGTTTCTTTGTTATATGGCCCCTCGTACTAGACTGTTCTAATTATCTTAAACTGATTTTATATTATTTAATGTGTAAAAAATGCCAATTTTACTCGAAATCCATAAACGATATCAAAATTTTGTAAGAGGCAAAAAATCTTCTAAAATAGTGCTTATTTTTAAAAATATAAATTATGTCATCATTGGCGTACACACAAAAAAGTTATGGGATAGCCAGTGGCGCACAGGTACTAGAAAGAGAACATCCTGTATATGTATTCTCACCAAATTCTATATTTACATTGCCCTTATATAAAAAAATATGTGTACCAAATTTGAAGTATCTAAGAAAAACAGTTTTCAAATTATTTGAAAAAAACTAGGTTATCTGTTCTATATTTAGAAAGCTATATCTAAGTAGGCGTGCATTTTTGAATATAGGTAAGTTAAGCTAGTCTTATTTTCATCCAAGGAACTTGTGGTCAAGTGTTGTCCATCCTTTTCAGGGACACCCTGTATGATTATACTAGGGAAAAAATTTTTGAAAGAATGTACTATAGTCCGCGGTCGAAATTATAGAAAGTGACTCAGACATAATATAAAAACACTATTACCATAATGCGTATAAAATATAAAATGATTTTTATTCGGTTCAATATTATTTATCTTTGTGCCGCTCGCTATGCACATCGATAGAATCTATAATCGTCTATAGACTGAGTTACACTGAACGTCGATCTATATTCTATCTGACTTTTGCACTTGTTAGGGAATAGGGAAATGTTTGTTTAGTGGGTGTAAACGGACTTGATTTATCCGTCCTGAGAAACGTCATAGCATAAGCGTAGACGAGGGGTCTAGTTCAATGGCTATAATAAATTTATAAATTAAAAAAACACAATTGGGACGTTTTAAAATGCTATAATAATTAAAATGGATCAAAGTGCCTGTTATAGCAAACCATAAAAAAATATTAGATGTTATGTTTTATTATCTTTTTTCATTATTTTCTATATCTTGTTGCCTTTTACGCAGACACGCCAATGGATTTTCGTTTCCCGCACGCTTCATCCCAATTACTAGTCCAAAAACTAGCGATTAATCACTCTCTATAATTTCGATCTCGGAGTATAGGCCTTAGTTATAAATATTTATTAAAGTTCCTAGTTATTGATAAAATACCGCAATCAACTGGCATTTTGGGCATTGGTTTCATAAGCTATATACCTATCTAATGTATGGGCATTGGATATACAGGACAAGAGGGTCCATATTATATGTTTTGTGGGATCTATTGGCCTTGTAACACGCACAAGACTCCCCCAACACAAACACGACCTAAACATACTAAACAGACGGGTGAAGGCGGCCCTGAGTGGGCTGGCCCAGGAAAGCTGGTCTAGACACTTGGAGTCGCTGGACCCACAAGACAGCAGTCTCTGGAAAACGCAGAGGGCCCAGCGCCAGACGCAAACTCCCGCCAATCCGCGGCAGCAGGGAGGTGGTTTACACGAACCAGGAAAAGGCCGATGCTTTCGTCGACAGCCTGGAACTGCCGGACGAGGACGGGAATTTCGATGGGGCGGCTGAGCGTGCGGCATGACGCGTTAGCAGTGAACCTGACAATGACATTATACAACCCGCCACACCAGACGAACTTAGACAAATATTAAGATACCTAAAAAACAGAAAAGCCTTCGGACCAGACCAAATACACAACATTACAGTAAAAGGACTACCACACAAGGGCCTCATGGCCCTACTAAACATAACAAACGCTGTACTCAGACTCAGACACTTTCATACACGCTGAAAAACAGCAAACATAATCCTCATCCCTAAACCCAATAAAGACCATACCTTCCCTTCTAACTACCGGCCCATCAGTTTATTCCTGGCTATAAGCAAAGTGGTAGAAAAAATAATCCTCTTCAGCCTAAAAATCCACTCCGAAGAACTGCGAGTTATTCCTAACAAATAGTTCGCCTTCCGCCTAACCACTCCACCGAAATCCAAATCCTACGACTCACCGAGCATGTCACGGGGGCCTTCAATAGGAGGCAGTTCACCGGAGAGGTCTTCCTGGATGTCGCAAAAAGCCTTCGATGCGGTCTGGCATTCTTCTTCTTCGGGTCTTCTGATGAAAATGCGCACCAACCAATACCCTATATCATTTGTCAAACTCATTAAGTCCTACCTCCGAAACCGAAAATTCGGCTTCCAAATCCAAAACACCTTTTCCACAACCCGTCTCATGGAGGCCAGTGT